AGAGCGGGTGGCCGCCCGCCCTCTCTGGGCGCTGGGGGCGCGCCGCCGCGCCTGCCTGTCGGCTGCCCTCCTCGGGGGCCGCCAGAGAGCGCCTGCCGGTCGGAGGTCGGCAGACACACGCCGGGCCCGTCCCTCTACAGGAGGACTATCCAAAAGTAGTCCAAAAATAGTCTGGGAACTATTTTTTAGCATTTTCTTGCCCATGCTTGAATATTTTTGGGGGTATTCTTTATTTTTCGTCGGAAATCCCCCTGTAGGGGGGCACGCCCGACTTCATGGTAGACCTCCTGCCCTGACACGTCGATTGGCGAATCGGCCGTTTTCGGTTCGCGAGGTCGCGGCCGTCGTTTCTGCGGGTCCAGGTCCGTCGGTGTGGCCCTGGGCTGTCTTCACACTGAAGGGTGGTTCACTAGAGGGAGGCTTGTCCACCGCCGATGAGGACTTCAGTATCAGTGATCGGCACAATCGAAATGGGTACGGAAAATATGGGTACGGAGACCAACGGCGATTCCTGTCCATTTCGGGCAGGATGCGCTGCCCGCGTCGCCGCGGACGCTGTCCATCCGAGGCAGGGGCCGCGCCTGGCCAGCAGCGGCCGCTGCGGGATCTGGGCGACACTTGTTGCTGGGCGTTGTGCCCGTTTTTCCGTACCCATCTCGGGCGCCCGAACATGCAGCGCCAGTCCCGCGGGAAGCCTTGGGACCCCGGGTCCGCTCCCCTCGGGGCCCCTCCTCCTCCTCCTCCTCCTCCTCCTCCTCCTCCTCCTCCTCCTCCTCCTCCTCCTCCTCCTCCTCCTCCTCCTTCCCCCCCTCCACACATGGCGCCCCGGCGCCCCGCCCTGCTCGCGACGTGGAGCGGAGAGAGGAAGCCAAGAGTCCCACCCCGGGGCCCCCCCCCTCTGCTCTCCCGCACCGCTCCCCCGCTTCCTCCGCATCGGCGCTCCCGCGTCTCCCTGCAGGGCCGGACCTAAACGGTGCTTTGGCGACTTCGTGGGCCGTTTTCGTTTCGGCTTCGTTTTGCGGCAAAGGCGGAAACCAAACGAAAACGAAAACCAAACGAAAGAACCAAAAGAAAACGAAAACCAAACGAAAAACCAAACGAAACAACACGAGGGAAAACGGAAACCAAACGAAAACGAACAACACCGTTGAGGTTCCGCCCTGTCTTCCTGCGCGCCCCTCTCTCGCTCCGGCGGGCCCCCCCGCTCCAGCCTCTCGGGAGGGCCTGGCCCGCACCTCCTCCTGCCCTTTGCTTCTCGCCGCCAGGTCGGCTCGCGCTGCGCACCCGATGGGGGGCCCCGAGGGGCGAGTCCCCGGGAGGTGGAAGCTGGGAAGGCTCGGCTGGACCCCGCTCCTCGGCCCCCCCCCCGGCGCCTTTCCCCCCGCGCCCGCCGCGACCCCCCCTCTGCCGCCTCCGCCTCCCCCCCCCGCCCCCCGCTCAGGGGGGGGCAGGCGAGGGCGGAAGAGGGATGCGGGCAGTGATGCGGGCAGTTCGTGAGAAAGGCAGGTCGCGAGGTCGACGATCGCCAGACTCATCGATGGATGTCGAGCGAGATCGCTTGGCATAACGAGTGCGAATCCGCGCCAGCGCCACTCGCAAACCGAAGCCTGCACCCATCCCCACCAACCACCGTATCATGCGAAGGTTGGTTCTGTAGGCTTACATACCCAGGACGAAAGTTGTTTCCTCTTGAGCCCCGAACGACGGCTTGAATTCTTGAGCAGACGCGCGTGAGATAACCGCCGTCGGGTCCCGTGAAGTTCGCTCGGGTCCAATTGCGGTTTTGCCGTCTGCTTCGGTGGATCCGAATTCCGTCCGCGCGGATCCGATTTCGGATTTGTTGGATCCGTGCTCGGTCTTATTTTTTACGGCGGATCCGATTGTCACCCCGTTACCAATTCATATTATCCATTCAAAACGGGGAACCAGAAGAAATCTGATCCGCGGGACCCCAGAACCCGCCCGTGTGAAGTTTCCACGGGGGAAGGGGTTTCGGTCGTTACTTTCCAACTCATCATCTCCATTTGCTCCTCAAGAGGAATATCCTTCGTCCTGCGTAAGTGCGTTTCGGCCCTGCTTCTCCTGCCTGACCCATCAGACTGCCTGTGGAATGTGGTGTGTCGGCTTTGTTGTAACCAACAAGGCCGAAGGCCAAAACGCCCATGCGTTTCGGCCCTGCGTCTCCTGATCCAACAGACAGCCTGTGAGATGTTGTGTGTCGGCTATGCTGTAACCAACAAGTCCGAAGGCCAAAACGCCCTTCCCCAGGACGTAAGTTTTTCCTCTTGGGCCCGCAACGACGGCTTGAAGTCTTGCGCAGACGCGCGTGAGATAACCGCCGTTGTATCCCGTGAATTTCGCGCGGATCCAATTGTGGTTTTGGCGTCTGCTTCGGTGGATCCGAATTCCGTCCGCGCAGGTCCGATTTCGGACTTGCTGGATCTGTGTTCGGTATTTTTTTTACGGCGGATCAGAATATCACCCCGTTATCAGTTCATATTCTTCATTCGAAACGGGGAACCAGAAGAAATCTGATCCGCGGACCCCGGAACCCGCCCGTGTGAAGTCTCTACGGGGGAAGGGGTTTCGGTCGTTACTTTCCAACTCGTCATCTCCATTTGGACCTCAAGAGGAGAGCCTTCCGTCCTGCATAAGTGCGATTCGGCCCTGAGTCTCCAGACCCATCAGACTGCCTGTGGAATGTGGTGTGTCGGCTGTGTGGTAACCGACATGTCCGAAGGCCAAAACGCCCATGCGTTTCGGCCCTGCGTCTCCTGACCCAATGGACTGCCTGTGAGATGTGGTGTGTCGGCTATGTGGTAACCAACAAGTCCGAAGGCCAAAACGCCCTTCCGCAGGACGAACAATTTTCCTCTTGGGCCCGGAACGACGGCTTGAAGCCTTGAGCAGACCGATTTCGGATGTGCCGGATCCGTGTTCGTTTTTTTTTCTTCTTCCGGCGGATCCGATTTGTACCCCGTTTTGAATTCATATTACGAAATTTAAAACAGGGAACCGGAAGACATTTGATCCGCGGACCCCGGAACCCGCCCGTGTGAAGATTCTACGGGGGAAGGGGGTTCGGTCACTACTTCCCACTCATCATCGCCATTTGCACCTCAAGAGGAGAGTCTTTCGTCCTGCGTCAGTGCAATTCGGCCCTGCGTCTCCTGAACCAGCAGACTGCCTGTGGAATGTGGTATGTTGGCTATGTGGTAACCAACATGTCCGAAGGCTTCAACGCCCATGCTTTTCGTCCCTGCGTTTCCTGACCCAACAGAGTGCCTGTGAGATGTGGTGTGTCGGCTATGTTGTAACCAACAGGTCCGCAGGCCAAAACTCCCATCCCCAGGACGAATGTTTTTCCTCTTGGGCCCGGAACAACGGCTTGAAGTCTTGAGCAGACGCGCGTGAGATAACCGCCGTCGGATCCCGTGAAGTTCGCGCAGATCCAATTGTGGTTTTGACGTCTGCTTCGGTGGATCCGAATTCCGTCCGCGCGGATCCGATTTGCTGGATCCGTGTTCGGTCTTCATTTGTACGGCGGATCCGCTTATCACCCCGTATTCATATTATTGATTCAAAGACGGGAAATCGGAATTAATCTGATCCGCGGACCCCGGAACCCGCCCGAGTGAAGATTCGACGGGGGAAGGGGGCTCGGTCATCATTTTCCAACTCATCATCGCCACTTGCACCTCAAGAGGAGAATCTTCCGTCCTGCGTAAGTGCGTTTCGGCCCTGCGTCTCCTCACCCAACAGACTGCCTGTGGAGTGTGGTGGGTCGGTTATGTGGTAACCAACAAGTCCGAAGGCCAAAACGCCCATGCGTTTCGGCCCTGCGTCTCCTGACCCAACGGACTGCCTGTGAGATGTGGTGTGTCGGCTATGTGGTAACCAACAGGTCCGCAGGCCAAAACGCCAATCCCCAGGACGAAAGATTTTCCTCTTGGGCCTGGAACGGCGGCTTGAAGTCTTGAGCAGACGCGCGTGAGATAACCGCCGTCGGATCCCGTGAAGCTCGCGCGGATCCAATTGTGGTTTTGGCGTCTGCTTCGGTGGATCCGAATCCCGTCCGCGCAGGTCTGATTTCGGATTTGCTGGATCCGTGTTCGGTCCTTTTTTTTTACGGCGGATCCGATTACCTCCCCGTTTGCAATTCATATTTCTGACTCAAACAGGGAGCCGGATGAAATCTGATCCGCGGACCCCAGAACCCGCCCGTGTGAAGATTCTACGGGGGAGGGGGGTTCAGTCATTAACTTCCAACTCATCATCGCCATTTGTACCTCAAGAGGAAAATCTTTCGCATTGGCCAGCTCGAGTGCCCCAGTAATGTTTATTTGCTTTCCGCCCTCCTCCCCTCTCCCCTCCCACTCTTCCCGCCCTCCTGTACTCATCAGCTGAATGATTCCCCCTCGGCTGGTCGGCGCCATGACCGCAGTGACATGCAAGCGAGATTGTGTGGATGACAGGCTTGATGGCTTTCTGAGAGAGTAGCACGCGCCCTCCCATGTACACCATGAAATGCATGTGTTTGACAGCCAGGAGGGCACCAAGCTGATGTATCACACGCTTCTGCATACCGGCTTCACCGTCCCCTTGTGCGTGCGTCTGCCTCGGTCTCCGCGCCCGCTCTGCCTCTGTCTCTTTCTCCTCTTGGTGTTCGAGTTTTTGCCTGGCCGAGCAGGCCCTGCCGCGGCGCTTCATGGTGGACGGCATCTTGCCTGCACCAGCGTTCTGGATCAAGGCGGTCGGGTGGGTGGGGTGAGTGGTCGGAGGGCACCAACTATACACCAACACCGATCCTGGCCAGGATCGGTCGTGTATATGGTGTATACACCGATTGGTGATCCTGGCCAGGATCGGTGTTGGTGTATAGTTGGTGCCTTCCTAAGTGGGTTCGGGAGTGCCGTGGGTCGACGGGGACGGGTCTCTTTCCTGGGCATCGCTCGGACGTGCGCATGGTTCCTTCGGCGAGGACCCCTGAGGAGCATCCTTGGTCATGTGGCGAAACAGCCACGGACGGAACCGAACAGAAAACACAGGGAACGGACCTCCGAGCGATGGCCAGGGCCAGCTTCGGAATGGAATTGGTCAGCGTGCTCCCAGAGCTGCGGGCTCGGGAGCCAGCGGTGTGGGATGCGGACTGGCAGCTCGACGCCAGGCGGGCGTCAGGGTTTCCGTCGCCTTGGCATCGCTCGGACGTGTGCATTTTGCTTTGGCGAGGACCATCGAGGAGTATCGTTGATCATTTAGCGAAAACTGCACGCACGGAGTCGAAAAATGCACGGAGAAAGGACGTCCGAGCGATGGCGCGTCTCACGGTTGGCGTGTCTGGCATTTTGGCCACGGACCATGGCCCTCCCACGGCCGACGAGGGACATCGATTTCGTTTCGTGTCGTGCGCGAGGCGTGCGGGCGAGGCAAGGCTGCTCGATGGCGATCGGGATCTTGCCCCCGTCAGGGGTGGTTCACGTCTCGGGAGCGACAGAGGGACGTACACGTACATGAATCCACGTCGGTTTCGAGAGTACGCATTTGCGCAAATGTTCGTATCACGCGGCCAGTCTCGCGGATCGAGGGGCCGTGTGCATGTACATGGCTGAGCGCGTACGTCCTTTGTGGGCTCCCGAACGTCAGATTGTCTCACCCCTTGCTTCGGATGCAATGCAACTCCTGGGGGGTCAAATTCTGATTTTGCCCTGGTCCGAAGTCTGGCTTAATCCCGCTTAATCCCGCTTAATCCCGCTTAATCCGGCTTAATCCCACTCAATCCCGCTTAATCCGGCTTAATCCGAGCCCACTCCGGCGTAACAGCCCCCTATTGGGGCTTAATCCTCTTTAATCCTTCCGACGAAAACCTCCCAGTAGTTGCCTCCTAACCTTGCTCGCGCCGGAGGGCCCACGCTGTCCCAGGGCCGTCCCGTGGTTGCCCCGCGGCTGTGCCGAGGGGCGCCGCAAATGTCTGCCCCGCTGCCTGTCCCGACGGTTGTGCTGCTGGTTGCCCCGTGTTTTTTTTCCAAATGGTTGTCACGATTGCCGTCTCGTTTGTCCCGATGCTTGTCCCGATGGTTGTCCCGATGGTTGTCCCGTGCTGCCCCGATGGTCGTCCCGATTGTCGTCCCGATTGTCGTCCCGTTTGTCACGATTGTCGCCTCGTTTGTCCCGATGCTTGTCCCGATGGTTGTCCCGATGGTTGTCCCGATGGTTGTCCCGATGGTCGTCCCGATGGTCGTCCCGATGGTCGTCCCGTGGTCGTCCCGTGGTGTGCGGGAGTTGCTTGCTGCATGGCCCAGATCTCATGCAGGTGCTGCTTTCCACTGCACTCCTCGCTCTCTGGAGGCTCTGGCCCTGTGACCACAGGCTCGGGTCCTACAGTGAGGCGCCTGAAACTTAACACTTACTTTTCAAAAGGGGCTCGGCCGTTCCTTAGGTTTGCATGCGTTCCGCTACCTTTTTGGCGGCGAGCCCCCCCGCGCGAGCCCCTGGCGTTCCTTGCGCGGTGCGAGTGGGGGCTCACGCGCGGAACCGAATCGGAAAGTGGTCACCTGAAGGTCCAGTTCCTAGCCCGAACCCCTGGCGTTCCTAACGCGTTGTTCGCAGGCTGCATTTCTGCGTTCGATCAGGGAGCAGTGGGGGAGGAGGGGGCGGGCGTTCCTTGGTAGTTTGGCAGATGGGGGCGGGGGTCGAACCGCAAAAGCAAGTCGTGGCGGAACGCCGATAGAAAGGGCCTCGGCCATTCCTTCGGACTTCATGGGCTCACTTGGAAAAAAGGGGCTTCGTCTCTTGTGTACCGTTCCTGAGGTTAGCGCCCTTACAGTCGGGGCGCTGCAGAAGGAACCCGTTTCGTTGGGGAGGGGCTCGGTGTTCCTTGATTGTTTCAAAGTTTGCCTCGGGTTTTCCTGAGGTTTTCCATGGGGAATCGAGGTTGAATTTATGGGAAAAAGGGGCCTCGTTCCTTATTTAGGGTTCCTTAGGTCAACGCCCCGACGGTATTGTCCCAGCATGCGCGGGCGGGTCAGGGGCGGACCGCGATGGCCGCCCTTCGGCACCAGGCTCCGCGCGCACCACGTGCGCGCCGCCCCGCCGAGAATGAAGCCCAAAGGGCCACAGGAGGAGGAGGAGGAGGAGGAGGAGGAGGATGAGGAGGAGGAGGAGGGGATGAGGGAGGGGGGAAGGAGGGAGGGAGGGTGGAGGGGGGAGGAGGACAGACAGAGGATGAGGAGGAGGGGAGGAGGGCAAGCTAGGTGCGCTCGCGTCATATCTGACATCCTGCCCCTCCCTCCCATCCCTTACTATGGCGTAGATCCCTTCTCTACTCGCACAGTCGGATGTCGAGCAGGGCAATGATCGCGAAAGGGTACGCGATGCATTGTAGAGCACGGCATGGCATGGCGTAGAAGAGCACCGCAAAGCGTAGTATCAACCTAGCATTGCATTGCATGCCGTGGCATGGCACGGGAAATGACGCCAGCGCTGCAGCGGGAGCACGAGTCGAAACGAGCGGAAGCGCGGAAATGAGGCCAGCGCTGCAGCGGGAGCACGATTCGGAACGAGCGGAAGCACGGAAATGAGGCCAGCGCTGCAGCGGGAGCACGATTCGGAACGAGCGGGGCCCGAAAATGAGGCCGGCGCCTCAGCGAGAGCAGCATTTTGAAAAAAAATGCAGGCGAAAGCCCACTTCCAGTGAATCCTGTGTGGAAAAAACAGACGCGGGGGGGGGGCGAACACTCCCAACCCGTCATCAGGGGAAGGAGGGGGCAGGAGGAGGAGGAGGAGGAGGAGGAGGAGGAGGCGGAGGAGGAGGAGGAGGAGGAGGAGGAGGAGGAGGAGGAGGAGGAAGGAGGAGGAGGAGGAGGAGGAGGAGGAGGAGGAGGAGGAGGAGGAGGAGGAGGAGGAGGAGGAGGAGGAGGAGGAGGAGGAGGAGGAGGAGAGGAGGAGGAGGAGGAGGAGGAGGAGAGGAGGAGGAGGAGGAGGAGGAGGAGGAGGAGGGGAGGGGGAGGGAGGAGGAGGAGGAGGAGGAGGAGGGGGAAGGAGGAGAGCAGTATTCATATCGAGCACTTGTGGAGGAGGGGGAGGGCAGGGAAGGGAGGGCCTCGGGCTCCGCCGGGCCGCCGGGCGCTCCCCGGCTCGCGCCGCGGCACGCCTCGCGAGGCGGTGCTCCCCGGCGCGCCGCGGCAACCCCCCGCCGGGCAGCGCGGGCGCGGCGCGGGGGTGCTGGACCTGCCCAGCGAGGCGCTCCGCCTGCCCCGTCCCGCCCCTGCCTTCACCACCTACCAGACCACCCCAACCCAACCCGAAGGCCTCAATTTGCCCTCCATTTCCAGTGGGGGGGGGTCGGGGAACGTCGAAAAAACACATGAAACCCGTACCCCCCCCAACCCGAAATGCGGGTCAAATTCGGATCTTCGGGTTGGGTTGGGGTGGTCTGGTAGGTAGTCATTCCTTCGCCAGCCTGGAACACATCCCTACGGTAGGTTTGCGTCGTGTCGACCCAGCGGCGACCCCAGCGCGGGCGTTCAAGGTCGAACGCCGCCGGCGACCCAGAATCGATGGATGTTGAACGATCGGACGTTGCGGCAGCGGCCGATCGTTCAAGGTTGAACGATCCCTGCGGTGTCAAAAACCAACGCTGGGGTCGGCACGACACGAACCTGCCGTATCCCTATGCTGGGCACCTCCTCATCACGATGCCAATCTTAGGGATTCCCTTATTTTATGAGGGCGAATCCCTAAGATTGTCATCGCCTTTCGGCGTGTCAATCTTAGGGACAGGGATACACGCTCGAGGATCGTAAGTCCTGGCGTCGCTCGGACGCGCGTCTCCTCTTCTCGGCGAGGGCCCTCCCGGAGCATCCCGGACCTCCTCCTGCGACAAAGATCGGACGAAGAGAACTATGCACATGCACCGATCCTTGCAAGGCCCATCCTTGACCCAGGATCGGTGCATATGCCTTCCTGGCCAAGGTAGGAGGGCGTATGCACCGATCCTGGGCTCAGGATGGGCCTGGCCAGAATCGGTGTATGTGCATAGTTCTCTTTCCTCTAAAAGAAGCCGCGCACGAAACCGCAAAAATGCACAGGGCGTGGGCGTCCGAGCGATGGGCCAGGTGCCTCGCCGGGTGCCTCGCCGCGGGGGGAGGCGGCCTCCGGTGCGCGGCCTGCCGCGGGGGGGGGGGGCGCGGGGGGGGCGCCCCCCGCCCGAGGGGGCGCGGCGGCGCCGCGGTGCTCCGCCGCAGCGCGTGCAGCAGCGATCGGCACGCCGCGCACGGAGGGTCGAGGAGGCGCGAGGCGCGGAGCAGGGTCGAAGAGCGGGGTCGAGGAGGATCGAGGAGCAGGGTCGAGGAGCGGGGGGGTGGGAGGAGGATCGAGGAGCAGGATCGAGGAGGACCGAGGATCGAAAGGGGGTCGAGGAGGGATGGAGCAGGAGCGGTTACGGGGCCGAGGAGGGTCGAGGGGGCGGGGGAGGAGAGCGAGGAGCGGGCGGGAGGCCGAGGAGTGGAGGTCCTGGCGGGGCGGAGGCCGCGGACATGTCGCCGACCTGTAGCCCGCGGCGGTGCCGAGCGTCGCCGCAGGCTCAGGTTGTCCACGGTCGCGGCTCGTCTCCGAACGTTTCACGGGAGTTGAGGCGCTCCTCGTCCCCCTGCGCAGCCGAGCTGCAGAGGTGCTCCCCCCCAATTCTCAGAGTCTAGGCCTCGCGGGTGGGGTCAGAGGGTGGCGCTGCAGCGCCGATGCATCGGCGATGCAGCCGGATGTGGGGCCCGGTTTTCTCCACGCCGACGTCGCCGCCGATCCGATGCATCGTGTATGCATCGACGATGTGGCGCGATCCTCCGACCCCATCTACTCCCTCCCCTTTGGCCACGCGTGTGAGTGGCCTTTCGCTGGAGCGACCTTTGGTGCCGGCCCGCCCGAGGGGTCCCTCCAGCCTCAAGTCGGGCCTGTCCCTCTACAGGGGGAGTATCCAAAAATTGTCAATCAATAGTCTGGGGATTATTTTTAAAGTATTTTTGGGCATCTTTTTGATTATTTCTTGAAGTATTTTTTTCGTCCAAAATCCCCCTGTATGGGGGACAGGCCCGACTTGACACCAGCAACGGCTGATCTTGGATCGGTTGGCTTTGGCCTCCTCCGTGGCCCCCCGAAGCCGCGCTCCCGAGGCCCCTCTTGCCCAGGGCCGCTCGTTGCGTGCAGCTTGCATGTGCTTGGCATCGCTCGGACGTGTGCATGTTTCCTTCGGCGAGGACCATCGAGGAGCATCCTTGATCATTTGGCGAAAGAGCCACGCACGAAACCGAAAAAAACACAGGGAATGGACGTCCGAGCGATGGCCAGAGGGTCACTCGTTACGTGCAGCTCGCATGCGGGCCTCTGAGCGGTCCGTCCGCGGCGAGCTCCCGCGGGCGACTGCGCACCTGGCGGCCTCTCTCGCAAGCGCGCCGGCTTGCAGCTCCTCCCGAAGGCAGGCGCCGCGGCGTCTTCGCTCCCCCCCCAGGGCAGCGATGTCGCCCGCGGGATGTGCGAACTCGGGGTCCAGGCCCAGATCAGAGATGCTGGGGGAGGTCCTGGGCGCGACGCTACTTTTGGGAAAGTCCGACGTCTGGGGGTCCAGGGAACCAGGCAGCGCAGGGGCTTCACAGGTCTCGCGAATATCAGTAAGCTTGCTCGCGCGTCGACCGATGCGAGTGCTAGCTTCAACGGGTGCCAAGCCTCAGCTGCTCCAGAGTTGTCAGGGACACGGAGTTGCTCCTACCCAATTACGCCTGTTGCGTGGCAAGATGTGCAGAGGTTTAGGGCTCGCCCCCAAAGGAGCCCTGGGTGCCTACCCTGCTTTCAGATGTGGTTTGCCCTCCTGGCTCAGGAACCCGCCATGCAAAACAGGGCCTCTAGGGCCTGGAGATCAGTCTGGGACACCCTCGGCAACCAGGAGGGCAGGTTGAACAAGGTGGTTTCTTTATTCTCGGCGGTGATAGCTATCCTCCTGGATTTTGGGTTGACGGCCGCCGCGGCCTGGGCGTGGACCAGCCCAAGTGGGAGATTATGTAAGGTCAGGCCTGGGGCCAAGAATGGTCAGGATGGGTTTTTCGAAGAGTTTCCGAACTGTATCCAGCAGACCTATTTGACCAAGGCCGTGGATTAATATTGTGGTACAAGCGCCAACTGTGAAATTGACGCACACTTCCAGAGATTCTTCGTTCGTGGAAACGAGGCGAAACCGAAGACGCTCACCTTATCCCTGCTGCTCGCGCTATTGCCAAAGGTATTCTATGGCATGGGGAGAGGAGGTATCAGGAGGACATGGGGGGGGGAGACTCGTTCAGATGTTGGAGGTGCGGGGAGGAGAGGGAAACTGCTCTGCATTGCTATTGGACCTGCCCAGCTCTTGCCGACCTTGCTTTGTGCTGTCTTATCATTCGTCAGTCCCAGCACCTTCGAGCTTGCGCGGAGGGAAAAAGTGCTGACACAGCCATTCAGTGGCTTCGAATTCTCCAGCCGCAGGAGCACACGGTAGATGTCGCGGCCAATTTCCATGCCAGCACAGACGTCCAGGGCATTGCAGTTCTTCGGGTGCCATCTTCGTTTAGTCAGTGGCGTCTTGTCGGCGTCGACGCGTCTGGCAGCAAGTGCAGTTCCGACCCGAGGCTCAGGAGGATGCATGAGGCCTTATCTTGCATGCTGGCAACATCTGGCCTCAGAGGACTCTTCGGGCCCGTCCCAGGTAAGCGGACCATCAACAGGGGGGGAGATGGTTGCCGCCATCGCCGCCCTCAGATTGCGCGGTCCTATGCACACTGTCACGGACAGTCGGTGCGTCTTCATGGGCTTCACCGAGGCCAGGATTGGGGTTTCGAAGAAATCAGAATCTTTGGCAGCCGTTTAGAAGATGTGGGGCCCAGGGAGCACCCATTCACAACCGACAAAACGAAAAGTCATGCGATTATCACGGATCTTTACTCCGTCTTTTATGTTTTCAGCCGTGGAGCAGATGTTCTCTCTCGCTGGACGCGCGGCCGCATTCGTCGAGCTACCAGAAGAGATTCTGGAACATGTTCGCAGCCATGATGATGATGATGATGATGATGATGATGATGATGATGATGATGATGATGATGATGATGATGATGATGATGATGATGATGAGCCTCATTGTGAAGCGCATTGCTTTCATACAGAATTTAGTCTAGACCGAGGGCCCCAAATTTTACGACGTTGAGGGTGCCGCCGGACCCCAAGGTTTAGAGGCTCCGCGAAGTTCAGCTGAGTCCCCATATGGTCGAGCAGCATGGGGACCGAATCCACTGTACCAGGTGCGTCATGGTTGGGCCCTTAGGCAAAGCTCGTTGGGTCTTAAAGCCTTGCGTGCCCCCAATTTAGCATTTTCTGGATCCACGAACTCCACAGGCAGCGCCTTCGTGTCTATCTGGGTGTCACATTGTTTTGAAGTTGCGGGGGATGGAGCGCCCATCGGCGCTGAAGACTCCGAGCAGAGTGCGCCACAAGGTCTTCTCTCCTGGCCAGCAGGTGAGGTCGCGGCTCCACGTGATCGTTCCGCCCTCCAGGCAGGAGCCGCGCCTCTCGTTTAGGCACGGGTCGGAGGGTCCGAGGCGCGCGCGGATAATGTTGGAGACTGGAAGCTGGAGGGAGTTGCAGGAAAGTGGAGGGAGGGCGGAGGAGGGAGGAGGGAAAAGGAAAGAGACTGAGGAGGAGGAGGAGGAGGAGGAGGAGGAAGAGGAGGAGGAGGAAGAGGAGGAGGAGGAGGAAGAGGATCAGGAGGAGGAGGAGGGAGAGGAGAAGGAAGCAGGTGGGAGGAGTAGAGAGGCGGAGGGTGGCGGAAGGGGGGACGTGGCAGGGGGCGCCCGTGGCCCGGCAGGTGCTGCAGGCCGTGCTGATGTTGCTGCCGACGTTCCGCGAGCGGGCGCGCGCCTGCAGGGCTTGCAAGGGCGTCAGGTGCGACAGGGGTACGGGGAGAGGGGGAGGAGGAGGAGGAGGAGGAGGAGGAGGAGGAGGAGGAGGAGGAGGAGGAGGAGGAGGAGGAGGAGGAGGAGGAGGAGGAGGAGGCGGAGGGCAAGCTAGGTGCGCTCGCGTCATATCTGACGTCCTACCCCTCCCTCCCATCCCTCACCACGGCGCTGATTTCCTCTATCCGCGGGCGCGTGTCGCAGCGGACCTGTGGCTCCGCGCGCGCGTGCGCAGTGGGTGGTGGTGCGCGTGCGTGCGTGCGTGCGTGTGTGCGTGGTTGTGGTGGTGGTGGTGGTGGTGGTGGTGGTGGTGGTGGTGGTGCTGGTGCTGTTGTGGTGGTGGTGCCGGTGGTGGTTGTGGTGGTGGTGGTGGTGGTGGTGGTGCTGTTGGTGGTGTGTGTGTGTGTGCGTGTGTGCGCGTGTGCTGTGGCATGGCACGGGAAATGACGCCAGCGCTGCAGCGGGAGCACGAGTCGAAATGGGCGGAAGCGCGGAAATGAGGCCAGCGCTGCAGCGGGAGCACGACTCGGAACGAGCGGAAGCACGGAAATGAGGACAGCGCTGCAGCGGGAGCACGATTCGGAACGAGCGGGGCCCGAAAATGAGGCCGGCGCCTCAGCGAGAGCAGCATTTTGAAAAAAATGCAAGCGAAAAACCAACTCCCGGGAATCCTGTGTGTAAAAAAGCAGGACGCGGGGGGGGTCGGTTAATCCCAGCACGCCATCAGGGGAAGAGAGAGAGTAGTATTCATATTGAGTAATTGTTGAGGCAAATGGAGGGGCAGGAAGGGTACGATGATGAAGCTGCTGCTGTTGCTGGTGATAATAATAATGGTGATGCCGATCATGATAATGCAGATGCGAATGCTGATAATGACAGTATGATTGTGATGATGGTGATCGTGGTGATGATGATGTTGATGCTGATGACAATAGTTATGCTGGTGATGGTGATGGTGGAGATGGTAATGGTGCTGATGATGGTGCCGACGATGATGATGATGCTGATGATGATCCTGCTGACGATGATGACGAGGTTGCTGATGACGGTGATTGTGTTGATGATCATGATGATGATGACAATGCTCATGATCATGATGTTGCTGATGATGGTTGTGGTGATGGTGATGGTGGTTGTGATTGGGTGAGGATGATGATGACGATGATGATGATGATGATGACGATGATGATGATGCGGTGGATGGTGCTGTCGCTGAGACGGGCGATGGCGATAACGATGTGGATGTTGAGGATGAAGACAAGGATGGTGATGGGGATGATGGGGGGAGGAGTGTGAAGATAAGCTGGTGATGGTGAAAAGGGGGAGGAGGATGAGGCGGATAGGCGGGAAGAGGATCGCCAGGAGGAAGGTTGGCGTGCCTGGAAGTGTAGCAGGATGAAGCTGACGTTCGAGGATTAATGATGATGATGATGATGAAGATGATGATGATGATGATGATGATGATGATGATGATGATGATGATGATGTTGATGATGATGATGATGATGATGCTGATGATGATGATGTTGATGATGTTGATGATGGTTCTCATGATGCTGATGACGATGCTGATGCTGTTGTTTATGATGGTCATGATAATGCTGGTGCTGATGGTGATGACGATAATGATGTTGATGATGATGCTGCTGATGATGATGGGGGTTATGATGATGAGGATGGTGAGGATCATGAGGATGATGACAAGGAGGGGTACTTTTGAATGATGACGATGAGGAGGATGAGGTGGATAGGTGGGAGCCCGATAATCACAAGGGAGGAGTGGCATGTCTGGAAGTAGAGCATCATGATGCCAACGTTCGTGGCTGACTCATGGGAATCAGAGGTGGAGGAGTATGAAGATGACGATGGTGATGACGATGATGGTGGTGGTGGTGCTGATGATGGTGATGATGATGCTGCTGATGATGATGATGATGGTGGTGGTGATGGTGACGATGGTGATGATGATGACGATGCTGATGATGATGATGATGATGATGATTATGATGATGATGATGATGATGATGATGATGATGATGATGATGATGATGATGATGATGATGATGATGATGATGATGATGATGATGATGATGATGATGATGATGATGATGATGATGATGATGATGATGATGATGATGATGATGATGATGATGATGATGATGATGATGATGATGATGATGATGATGATGATGATGATGATGATGATGATGATGATGATGATGATGATGATGATGATGATGAGGATGAATGATGATGATGATGATGATGATGATGATGATGATGATGATGATGATGATGATGATGATGATGATGATGATGATGATGATGATGATGATGATGATGATGATGATGATGATGATGATGATGATGATGATGATGATGATGATGATGATGATGATGATGATGATGATGATGATGATGATGATGATGATGATGATGATGATGATGATGATGATGATGATGATGATGATGATGATGATGATGATGATGATGATGATGATGATGATGATGATGATGATGATGATGATGATGATGATGATGGTGGTGGTGGTGGTGGTGGTGAGGATGATGATGCTGCTGATGATGATGATGATGATGCTGATGCCGATGTCGATTATGCTGATGCTGGTGATGATGGTGGAGGAGGAGGAGGAGAAAGAGAACGATGAGGAACGATGAGGAACAGGAGCAGCAGCGAGCACGTCCTCCCCGTCCGCCTGTTCCGTTCCCTGCCCGCTGCGCCCCCACGCCAGGTGCCTGGATTGGCGCCTGGGCCCCCCGCGCCAGCTCGACGAGGAGCTCGCGGGCATCGGCCTGTGGAGCCGCGGCGCCAGAGGGCCGGCAAACGCGAGCGGCCTGCCCCGCTGGAATGGGGGCGCGGCGGAGCGAACCGTGGCCGACCGGAGGGGGCCGAGTGCTGGGGTCGGCCGATGGTCGGGTGTGCGGCCCCAGTGCCTCTCAAAAGCAGCTTGTAAGTCATGGGCCGACTAGACGTAAGAGTGACCTTTCGCCGGAATGACCTTTGGTGCGGGCGCAGATGCGTCCCCAGATGGCTGAAAACGAAGCAGGAGCAGCGGCTTGAGCGCCCAGGTTTGGTCCTCCCGCGGCCCCCCAAAAGCCGCGCACCAAAGGTCACTCTTACCCAGGGTCACTCTTGCGTGTAGCCGAACGGGCGGCCTAACCGACCCCTAGCAAGTCCTCCCTTTCCGTGACGTCCCCCCCGCCTAGGCGTACATGTATGCGGCCGGAGATGAGCTCGAAAGGCGAGGTGGAGGTCACGGAGGGGGGTGGCTTGCTAGGGGTCGGTCAGGTCGCGCCCGAGTAAGCAATGCTCTTGGGCGGCTGGCGGCTGGACTCGGCTGGCTGACGTCCAGCACGTCTGCGCGCGGAGTGGAAGGCGCGTGGCTAGTGGGTCCGCGCGGCCCGCGCACCTCCTCCTCCTCCTCCTCCTCCTCCTCCTCCTCCTCCTCCTCCTCCTCCTCCCCTCCTCCCCTCCTCCTCCTCCTCCTCCCCCTCCTCCTCCCCCTCCTCCTCCTCCTCCTCCTCCTCCTCCTCCTCCTCTCCTCCTCCTCCTCCTCCTCCTCCTCCTCCTCCTCCTCCTCCCCCTCCTCCTCCTCCTCCGCCTCCTCCTCTTCCTCCTCCTTCCTCCTCCTTCCTCCTCCTCCTCCTCCGCGGGCCTCTGGCGGGTTCCCTGAGGCCCTGACGTCCCAGCGCTACCGCCTCGGAAAGCAGAAATATTCGGTCTTGGGCGCTGGCCGCGGCTTGCCATCTTTTTGTGCAAGTGGCCCGCTGCGCGGCGGATCTCGGGGGGCAGATCGGGGCGGCTGGGCGGCACCCTTCGGCCTGCGCGGCACCCTTTGGTCTGCGCGGCACCTTGGCTGGGAGCCCTGGGGCCGTGCGAGAGAGTGGCCTGGGCCGAGACGCCCGAGAGCGGATGGGGGAGGCGGAGTCTCCCCGGGGGCCAGCGGCGGCAGGAGGAGCGAGTCTCGTCGGGAGAGCCCGGGCCGCGGGCGGGAGGGGAGCGGCACGGGGGGCAGTCTCGGGACTGCGCGTGCAGGCAGGCACCATGACGAGTGAGCATTTTTTCGCTTCTCTGCCTCGGCGAGGGCGACCGCCGGGGAGCACGGTGGAGAGACAGAGCGCCCATACACCCCTCGGGGACCCTTTTTGGGGAGGGGAGCAGCTGGCTGGGGCCGAGGCGCTGCTGTCGCCCCCGGCAGCCATGGGCCGAGGCCGAAGGGCCGACGGCCAGCACACACCAAGGCAAGCTGGGCGGGGGCAAAGCTTCAGTGCCAGAGCATTATCTGTTGTGTCTCTCGGAGCTTTCGCGCCGCCTTCTGCGGTTCGTGAGCGTGTCGGGTCCGTCCCTGGGGCTCTGGATGCATGTCCAAGTCTACATTCCAACCCACTTCGGTTCTGATGGAAGGTCTGAGACGGTTTGCGCCCAAGCCTTTCTAAGAGACTTATGCACTGTCTAAGGTGGTGAATGACGACGCTGGGGCTCCGAGAAGGAGGGAAGAGGAGGGAGGAGGGCCAGGAAGCGCGGGGCGTGGGGGAGGAGGGAAAAGGGAGGAGGGAGGGAGGGAGGGGACAGGATGGGACGGCATCGGGCTGGGAGGGGAGCGCGGGGGGGACGGGGACGGGGGACCCAGGCGTGCCGCGCTCTGATATTTTGCCACTGCGCGGCCCCCTCGGGTCCCCGCCTCCTTCGGGGGGGAGGGGGGGCTCTGCGCCGCGCGTCGCCCCTTGACGGCCCCGAGGCCCGGCGAGGGCCCCCCCAACCAATGGGGCGGAGCACGGCCCACGGGCTGCCGTCGCGATGTGCTCGGACGGCGCGCGCGCGTCTCGGGGGCCCCGCCTCTGTCTGGGGGGGGGGGGGGGCCCTGCGCCGTGCGTCGCCCCCTGACGGCCCCGAGGCCCCCAGCGAGGGCCCCCCCAAAGGGGCGGAGCACGGCCCACGGGCTGCCGTCGCGATGTGTGCGGCCGGCGCGCGCACGCCTTTTGGGGGGCCCCGCCCGCCCAGCGCGCCTCGCCCCGCCGCCCCGCCGCCGCCGGGCCGCCCACCCCCGAGGCGCCGCGGCGGTGGCCGAGGCGCTGGCCTCGCCGCTCAACGCAGGGCTCGGGGAGCCGGGCCCTCGGGCTACTCTTTTTTCCCCCCCGGCCAGCCTGTGGCGTTGGGCCCTCGTCTTGAAGAGGCGGCGCCCCGCGGCTCCTCCCCGCCTCTCCTCTCCTCCCTCCCCTCCCTCCCCTCCTCTCCTCCCTCCTTCCGCTCGCCTGGGCCCCGCCTGCTTCTCTCTCTCTCTCTCTCTCTCTCTCTTTGGTGTTGCCACCTGTGTGTGCTCAGTGTGCATACGAGTGTCCAGGCGAGTGCGGAGCTATCCGATACCGGCGTTGAGCGAGCGAGCCTCCCATCCCTGCCTCTGCCCTCCGCATGCCAACCATGTCGGCACACCCTCACACGCTTCGTGGCCCCACAGGGAGCTTCACCGACTGCGTTCGCATGCGGTTCCGCCTCACACTCCGACACACCCCTCACACGTTTCGTGGCCCCGTAGGGAGCTCCACCGAAAGCCTAAGTGGCTGCGTTCGCATGTGATTCCGCCCCCACTTTGGCACACGCCTCACACGCTTCGTTGCCCCATGGGGAGCTCCACCGACGGCCCCCGTGGCTGCGCTCTCACAGGCGGCAAGGGAGCTCCGCCGAAGGAGATAATCACAACTGCGGTATTCACAGTTGCACATCGCAAGGAAAGTTTTTCGGAGATGTTCCAGGGCGTCTCGATGTAAGAGTGGCCCTTCGCCAGGGTGACCTTTGGTGCGGGCCCACCGGGCTCCCCCGATCGCCCAACGCGATGCGGTAATGGCGTCTTGCGCGCTTGCGCTTGGTCCCCCGCGGCCCCCCCAAACCCGCGCACCAACGGCCGCTCTCACCCAGGGTCACTCTTTGCGTGTAGTCGAGGCGTCGTTCTGCTCTTCGCCCTGCTCCTCCTTCTCCTCTGTCCATCTACGCCTCCCAGATGGGGGCGGAGTAGATGGGGTCGGAGGATCGCGCCGCATCGCCGATGCATCGCCGATGCGGCTCGATGTGGCGACCGTGTTTCCCCACGCCGGCGTCGCCGATGCATCGCCGACGTCGCCGATGCATCGCCAATGCATCGGCGATACATCGGCGATGCGGTGCATCCTTCCGACCCCATCCATTCCGACCCCATCTAGGAGGCCTCTCAGTGCAGGGGCAACAACGGTAGGGGGGTTGCATCGACCCACCATCGCCCACTGGATCGCCGATGCGGTTCTGATAGCCCATCCCCGCCCAGGAACGTGCGGATTCGCCATCGGGGGCCTGTCGTCAACCGATCGGCGATGTGTTGCCGATTCCAGGTCGATGTTCCCCCCCTGCGCCAGTCCCCCCCTATCGATGCCCCTCCACGCTTCAGAAGAGGACGAGGTACTGGAACCGATACCGCTACCCTTTCGTTTTCGTTGTTGTTGGGCCTCCTAGGAGGTCCTCGTCGCCACGTCTGGATTGGCTTCGATCTTGATTCAGAACTCACATAGTGGAATCGGTACTCATTGGTTTTCCAATCTTCCGCCGTTAGCAGTCTCCGTCCCGTCGTAAAATAATCCTGGCGAAGGACCCGACCATATTCAATTGTGAGCGCCGCAAGGCAGGTGGCCACAATATGTGTGAGGGGTATGCCGACATGGGCAGGGGGCGCATGTAGACAGCCTTCGGGGGAGTTCCCTGGGGGCAGGCCACGACACGCGCGAGAGGTGAGCCGAAATAGATCCGGTCCCAGGCGGCACTGTCCAGAGACGCTGCTGTCGTCGAAGGGGTTCCAAAAATTCGAGTCCCAGGCTGGTGGTGCGGTGTGTGCTGGCGGTTTCTCATCTCCTGCCTCTCTTTCTCTCTCCGCCTGTCTCCTCCGTCACTGTTTACCAATAGTAAACTCGCCGTCGGCTGTTTGGTGTAGGTCGCCCTTTCCTGAGCGAGCCCGACCGTTTGCCGGAAAACACTCTGCGTGCAGAGTGATAGTTGTCGGGGTCCCAGCGGCTCTGGCGGCACGGGAGTGCTCAACCTACTAGAAAGTCCGAACTGTGTAGCAGGTCTGCTGATTTCGACTCCTACGTTTAGCAGATCGTATCCGAGCCAAAGTGTTTGCTCGGTTTTGCAAGTCGCATCCGAGCCCAGTATACATGCTCGTTACCCATATTGGTTCAAGAGTAACACATATCTCCCCTGATGCCACATGCAGCCGACGACCCATTCTTCCAACAGCGCTTACCACAACACCCGGGGGACCAGCGCCGCGACTCCGACCTGGTCAGCAGATGCCGGATGGTCGGTGAAGGGTTCAAGCTTGCAAACAAGGAGTACCCAAACCACCACGAGCAAATCACCAGAGACCCCCAACGTCGGTCCGATTGCACGGTTCAAAGCATTCATCCATCAACGCCGTGCTTCTTCACCAAGAGACGCAGCTACTAGAGTTTCCTTCAGCAAACAAATCATGCAGCAGACAAGGGCCATCAAACGAACTGGGATGAATGCCAAGCTCGAAACCATCGTCTGCCCATCTAAAGATCTAAAGAAACATGGCTTGAAAACTACAACGCGCAAAGAGTCAATCGCATCAATGAGGACACCTGATGGTATTGAAGAGACGCACGGGCAAATAATAGCAGACGTATTTGCAACCTTCTGCGAAGAGCTGCACAAGAATCCGCACCGTTCGGACAGCATCCGCGACGCGCCGACGACGGCTCAAAAACAAACATTCCACCTTTCACCGAACTCAAGAACGGCAAATGCAAAAGCACCGCGGGACTCACAGCAGAAATGATCATACAGCACCGCCTGAACCTGACCAGACCCCACCTTACCAATGGAAGAGCACCACCACCACCGTGTTTCTACAACTCCCGAACAACTACAGACCCACAACTCCCGGGCAACTACAGACCCACAATTCACACAGCACCACCAGCACCAGACTCACAACTCCCGTGCAACTACAGACCAATTGCCATTATCCCCATTGCTACACAAGTTTATGCCTCGCCTCCTTTCCAACCGCCTGAATTCTGCGTCCGATTCGCAGCAGTCCCCTGACCAAGCAGGCTTCTGCAAGAACTATTGCACAGAAGACCACTTGTTCACCACAGCGATGCTACATGAGAGTTCTTACAAGTGGCAGCTGCCACTATGGGCAGTAGCAGTCGACTTCAAGAAGGCGTTTTGTGTAGACCACCGGCTGCTCTGGGAAGCTCTACGACAACAACATTTGCCACCTGCATACGTACACTGCTTCAATCAACTGTGCTGCTCCCGAACGGCAGCAGTCATGACAGATACCACCAGCAGGGCTTTAAGTATCGAGTGGGGCGTGGAACAGGGAAACCCACTAAGTTTTTTCTTTCTCAATACTGTCCTCGAGCACGTGGTCAGACAGGTGAAAGCCTGTGTGGCAGCGCAAGAAATTTGGGATCCAACTCGGTTTCGCACCACTAACACGGATCACACACTGACGTTTTGCCGACGATGTGTTGCTCTACGCCCCAAACTTACGACAATTGTCCTGCTTGCTCCGAGATGTAAAATTTAAAGCCAAGACATGTTAACTGGCACTGCACCCAGACGGAACCAATATCTTGACGAACGTCAGCCGGAGAGAAGGAATAACCATTACCCATGTCGACATCAATTGTGAAAGCATCGCAATATTGCGCTCCGACCAGAGCACGAAGTATTCACTCAGGAAGAAAAATGATGTTCAACGACTTTCACGGTACGGAGCTGCGCAATAGGATTGCCGCAGGATGGGGGCGCCTCAACAATTTGGGATGCGAGTTGACGCACAAGCGCTTCCCGCTCCGCAGGCGTTCGACATTTCTCAATGGAGCAGTCGCCGCATCAGTGATGTATGGGTGCTCCTCTTGGACCCATCACCAGCGAGATGCTCATCACTTCACGGCGCGCCTATCGAAGACTGCTCAGGCCTGCAATGGGTATGCCACGGCGTCGCAGTATACGAAACCACGCCCGCGACGACGACACCAGCGAAGGGGCCGGCACCGACGCAGCAGACCACCACGGCAGAGCCGACGGCAGAGAAGAAGACGGATTGGAACCGTGGGAAGACTTCTTACGACGATCGACGCTCACAGGCGCTGAGAACTGGCCTACGGTATACCTCAAACGGAAGTGGCCGTGGGCATCGCGAGTCGCAATTCACGACTGCGACAGATGGGCGCGGCTCTTCATCCACTGGGCTCCGAGCACCCACGACCCCACGCCCAACCCAGCGACGCCACGGAGGACAACGTAAGAAATGGGATGCCGAAGCTACGCAATTCCTGCACACAGTCACTACGCAGCACGGCGACGACAACCACACAATATGGATACCCATTGCGACGGACAAGGAAGCGTGGTCGGCATTGGAGCCGGCATGTCTTGCATATGTTAATGTTGAGGACTGTGCGCGAAACTCCCACACCGCGGTTTGGGTCCCCCCCTCCTTCCTCCTTCCCCCTAGCTTAGCACTTTTTCTGCATTCCGGCGCAGGCGCCCCGCTCTCGCAGGGCCGTCCCCTGGGACGACTGACGGGCGCCTCGCCTCGCTTCGCCACGACTTGCATGAAAATCGCGCTGTCGCTCGAGACTTCCCCGCGATTTACGCAGGACTCACACTTCAGGAGCCCGCCTCCTCGACCTGGCCGCGTTGGCCCGCCTTCCCGACCCGCCCGCCAGAGCCCGCCCGCCCGCTCTGCCTGTCTGGTTCTGCCACGTGTTGTCTGCTCCTAGCCCGCCTGCTTCTTTCTCTCGTGCTCCATCCTTCTCCCTCACCTTGCCGTCCGTCCTCTCTTCCCATGTGTTAGAGGCTGCGCTAAGTGCACGTGGCAGGTAAGGGAGACAGACCCCCAAGGGGGCACGATCGAAGACGAAGAGGGCGGGTATCGACCGGCACAGCCGGGAGGGGAAGCGCACGCCGATGCCGCTGCCATTCCCTCGATTTCTTTTTGATCCACGGGTCGAGAGCGAGCCTCTTCCGGTCGAAGCGGGCCGCGCACAGCTTTAATTAACAGAGGAAGGAAAACAGAAGGAGGGGCCTCACGTCAAGGCTAGGAGAGTGCAAAGCCCCGGGATCAGGCGGTGCCGAAAGCGAAGTGCATGCAAAGGAACGCCTTGAACAGGAACCTGGAGGCGAAGCACCGGGAGGCGAAGTGCCATCCCCTCGATTTTCACGCGTGTTGGGCCGAGCCTCAAGCGAGCAGAGAGAAGAGGCTCCGCGTCTCGCCCACCCTCTGGGGGCTCTTCGCGAGCCGAGTTGCCTGCGGTGCAGCACTCAGGGGGCCACATGCGAACCCTACCCCTGCCTCCCACGATTTCTGAGGGAGGGTGGGGTTCACTTCGCTCGAAATCGTGGGGGCGGGGGTAGGGTTCGCATGTGGCCCCCTAAGTGAACGACCATCGTCGACGAAGGGACTGGAGGTGGAGCGGAGATACGCAGTTCAAAATATCAGTCCTTCGCTTTCGTTTTTTATGGCCTCCCGCGGGGCCCTTCGTCGCCATGGCTGGAGTGGCTCGAGGATCCTGGCCAGAAGAGCGCACCCAGGGAGAGGTCAGGGAGTCGCTGCCTCGGTATCTTTTTGCCCCCCCGCCCCCCCAGGTCCAAGACTTGTAGTTTGAGGCCGCGGTTTCGCGACCCTCCCGCAGCAGTTCTGACGTAGCGCTTTCTGAAGTCGTCAGGGTCGTCCCTGCAGGGCGTCATCGATCCTTGGCGGCGCCCACGCCAGCATCCGCGTGCTTCTGACATGTGTTTGTTTCGAAGGTACTGTGGTGGTGGCGGATCAGCGCAGGCCGTTTGTTTCAAGTATTTTGGATCCCGGCCCATACTCCTCTAAGACCCCTGGCCTAGTGCTTGGGCGGGCTGAAGCCCAGCCCAGACTAACCCCCTTTTCTACATCATTCCCGAATCAGCGCTTGCACTGTAGGGGTCCTAGCGGATCTAGAAGGATTTGGCGAAAGTTGGCGGCCGGTTTCGGTAGGCCGCCGGGTTCCCAGATTCCCGTTTCCGGGTTCCCGGGTTCTTGGTTGTTGGTTCCGGGCCGATGTCGTTGTGCGGTGGGGTTTCCGGGGTTTCCGGATTCACGTGTTCTCGGTAGATCTCCTTATCGATCGGTCTCACCATCGATATCATTCCCTTTCTTTCTATCGATCTCACAATCGATTTCAGTAATGGTCTCACAACCAATCTCACTGTAGATCGCACGAGCGATCTGACGATCGATCTCACAATCGATTTCACTGAATCGACTTCACTGCCAGCCTCATGATCGACCGTACCATCGTCTTGACCTTCGATCCCACTATCGATCTCACCATCGATCTCACAATCCACTTCAAGACCCATCATCATGCACCTCAAACCATCCAGCGAGCGGGGTGCTTCTCTGGTGTCAGGCTTTCCACCAGTCTCCTACGAGCGGCCTGCATCCTGTGCATGGCCACCGTGCGCCCTGGATCCCGGGACCGATCGCGCGCCCGGCTGGGGGCGGCCCGGCCCGGCCGCTCTCGTCTCGCCGCGCCGAGGCTGTGCCTGGGCAGCAACGGGATAGGCCGCGACGCGGCCCCCGGGAGACGTGGCAGGCGGAGGATGCCGTGTGTGTGGGGCGGACGCTGAAGCGGAGGCGGAGGCGGAGGCGGAGGAGGAGGAGGGGGTCTGTTTGCACGAACGAAACGGGTACGGAAGAATGGGCGCAATGCCCAACAGCGGTTTCTGTTCCTTTTGAACAAGCGACCAAGCACCAAGCGCCAGGCCGCGCGTTTCCATCCGTACTATTATTACGACTCTTATGATTATGCCTAGGGATATAGCCATGCTAATTATTATTATCAGTATTCTCTTCAGTCGTATTTTTATTGCTATTTGTAATACTCTTATTATCATTCGGCCGCGGCCTGTGTCCACTTGAGACAAAAGGCTGCCTGCCCAACAGCGGCCGCTGTTGGTCTGGGACAACATTCGTTGTTGGGCAGTGTGCCCATGTTTTCCGCGCCCATTTCGGGCGTCCAAAGACTGGGGCCGGGGCCCCGACGACCCAATGAGGCACGACTGCGACGTCCTGATGACCTATGTCGCGGCCCCTCCTCAGCCATTACTTCGGGCGCGACGCGTTCCCCCCGGAAAGCCGACTCTTCGCGATGACCCACAATCAGGCCGTCGTCGCTCGCATCAGCAACCACCAGCTTTCCGCGACGGTCGCCGAGCCGATTGCCGGCGGCTGCGCCGACGCCGACGCCGGTTGCAGTCGCCCAAGCGCCGCGGCGTCTTCATGCACATCAAACTGGTCATAAACCACAACCCTACTTCCGAGCCAACTCCGTTCGCGATCGCCATTCTCCAGAGAGGATCATCGCCGGCATGGAGATCATCGAGATCAACGAGTTGATCGAGGCCCAGGGAGGGGCCCCCCGCCCGGCAGCGGCGCCGGGCAGCCTGCGGCCCGCGGCGCGGGCGACAATCGGGGACCAGCCAACCGGGGGGCATGCGACGGACCACCCGACCGGGCCATCCACGGGGGACGTCCACGGCGTCTTACCGGCCCACGTCGGCATGACGGCAGCGCAGGAAGAGCTGAAGAAGAAGTTGGGGCTCGCGCAGGAGCAACCGACCACAATGACGCACAGCGACGCTCCCACTGAGCCCGCGCACCCGGGCTCATCGCCCGCAGCTCTCGCTCCGCAGGAGCAGGAGGTACTGCGCACCGCCAACGCCAGCATCGGGCGTGACCGCCTCGCCGCGGAGCTTGGCCTGCTTTCGCCGCAGCGCCTGATCGCGGAAGCGCGCCCATGGTTGGCCCCGCAGCAAATGCCGGTGCCGACCCGCAGGATGATCGCCGATGCAGTGCTTCGGCATCAGACATCGACGACACAAGCCGCCTGGTGCTGACAGCAGAAGACGCGGCGTACCTCGGGGAAGAGGAGCTAGGTAGCGCCACGATCCAGGCTACAGACGAAGCCCAGCCAGGCTGGTCAGCACCGGTCATCACAGGTCATGGCAATGGATGGGCGTGCATCCTATAACCTGTCTTCACAAATGTGCAGCGCTTTAGTCAAAAGAGAAATGGATCTCTTTAATGTTGTCACATAATCAAAACACGGCAGAACAGCATTCAGTCAGCGCAGCAACCAGTTTGTTAAATCCAATAACGAATTTCCCAAATCTGGGGCCGTCCTTCCAAGTCCAGGACCCCATCGCTGCCGCGACTCAGGCTGGCCGATCAAGAGCCCCCCCCGCTGATCGCTCGCAACCGCCGAGGCGCAGGTCTCGCGATGGGATCGGCCGAACGGCGGCTCATCAGCGCGCCGTCCACTTCCTGCATGTTGGGCCAGTTCTGCCCCGCTGGACCGACGGCAGACGCCGGCGGCGGCCAGCCGCCCCTTCCAAATCCACGTTTCGGTTTTGCCCTTCCACCAAGCAGCCGCGCTCACTGAACACCCGGCAGCAGCAGCAGTTGGCCCGCGCCAGCTACCTGCTTTCTCCGACATCTCATCGCCGCTCCCCGGTGGCGGCACGCTCCTACCTCTGCGAGCGTCCTCGCGGCCATCGCACAGCGCAGCACTACGGCGAACATAGCAAGAGCGGGCTATGCTATGCAGTAGGCCCACGGTAACACAGGGTTCCCAAACCCGCTTCGGCTGTCTCGCCCGCGCATGCAACTGAACCAGCGTGCCGCGAGAGTGCGAACTGCGCCGGTCCAGTGGACAGCACTCTCTCGCGCGCCCTTTTTCGCGGGGTCCACGACCACTGGCTGCGAGCTGGGGCTTCGGGGGTTACCAGTTTGAAACATATCCCTATCCATATGTTTGACATCACCTCACCTCGATGCCGATCTTAAGGATTCTATCAGTTTCTGAGGTCCTATCCTTAAGATTGTCCTCGCCTTTTGCTCGCCCATCTTGGGGATAGGGGTAAGTTCGAGGCTGGTTAGGGGGGGCCGCAAAGCGAAGGCCTTCCTTTTCTCGCTGGTCTGGGAGCCCTCTCCCCACCTTCCTGTTCGTGCGGCCCGCCTCCGCGCGGCCCCCGCTCTACCTGCATCAACCCTCCTGTAGGGGGACACGCCCGACTTAAAGCTTGCCCCGACTCTACGTGCATCAACCCTCATGCTGCTGACCTCAGAGTCAGCAGCCCGCAGCGTCGCAACTGCGTGGGTTGACTTGCGCATGCAGCAGCAAGCTGTTGGCCTTCAGCCGAGTTCTTTGCCCAGCTTGCTCAGCCCACCATGCCTGACCGTTGACCTGACCGCCGCCATGCCGCCAACTTCGACCAAACCACTTCCGTGGAAGGCTCAAACCTCCCCCACGCTCTGGGGTCATTGCAGGCGCGGGGTCTCGCCGTTGACCTGGAGGGCGATTGTCGGGGGTCCTATGAGCCTAGGGAGAGGCCCTTGAGCCTACTGCTTTGGCGTGGGCGGACCGCGGTCGCCGTCCCTACCCTCTTCCCTCCCTCTGGATTGCGCCTGCCGTCCCTCCTTCCTTCGCCCGCTCTCTCTTTTGCGCGTGTGCCACTGTCGATGTCCTTTATGTGCATATCTCTCAAATGTCAGGAGGGAAAAAATCACACACACTCAATTATTAATCGTCGATTCCCAGAAAATATAGGTTTATATGAGAAGTGGGGGGGAAGACAAAAACCCAGAAAATATGGGAAACTATGGGGATTCGTTCTATTTGTGTGTATTTATTTGTGTGTCCTGGGGCCCCTCGAAAATGTGCCAGCGACTCCCGGAGCGAACGCTCCAGAAGTCGCCCGGCTCTCAGATTTGGATTCCCCCCCCCGGGGCCGACCGGCCCGGTGGGGGGGTGGGGGGAAGGGCGGCGTCCGGCGGACCTCTGCGCCGTCAGTTCGTCAGCTCGCCGGGCGGAGAGGGAGGGGGGGGTGTAATTACAGGGAGGTCGGCGAGAGGACGGAGGAGCGGACGAGGAGGCCCTCCCCTCCCTCCCCTCCCTCCCCTCCCTCCCCTCCCTCCCCTCAGAGTGCAGCATTTGCAGGCAGCAGCCCATCGTGCTCCAGTGATCTGGGTCTCCTGGACGGGGTCGAAGCAGAGGGGGTCGGAGGATCGCGCCGCACCGCCGACGCAGCGCCGATGCGGCTCGATGTGGAGCCCGACGTGCGTCGACGTCGCGGATGTATCGCCGACGTCGACGATGCATCGCCGCTGCATCGCCGATGCATCGCCGATGCATCGTCGATGTATCCGCGATGCGGCGCGATCCTCCGACCCCATCCACTCCGACCCCATCTAGGAGGCCTCTAAATGAGCTGGAGGGAGGCCGGCGAGAGGACGGAGGAGCGGACCAGGAGGTGGACGACAGAGTGCAGCATTTGCAGGCAGCAGCCCATCGTGCTCCAATGATCTGGGCCTCCTGGACGGGGTCGAAGCAGAGGGGGTCAGAGCATCGCGCCGCATCGCCGACGCAGCGCCGATGCGGCTCGATGTGGAGCCCGATTTGCGTCACGCCGACGTCGCCGATGTATCGCCGACGTCGACGATGCATCTCCGCTGCATCGCCGATGCATCGCCGATGCATCGCCGATGCGTCGTCGATGTATCCGCGATGCGGCGCGATCCTCCGACCCCATCCACTCCGACCCCATCTAGGAGGCCTCTAAATGAGCTGGAGGGAGGCCGGCGAGAGGACGGAGGAGCGGACGAGGAGGTGTGGACGACAGAGTGCAGCATTTGCAGGCAGCAGCCCATCGTGCTCCAAAGAGCTGGGGCTTGCTGGGAGCGCCTGCAGGGAGCGCCTGCAGGGTTGCCTGCGATCCTCGAGGCAGGAGGGGGGCAGAGGGCGAGGAGGAGGAGGAGGAGGAGGGAGGAGGAGGAGGAGGAGGAGGAGGGAGGGGGCAGGGGGGAGGGAGGGGGGAGGGGAGGGGGAGGGGGAGGGAGGAGGGAGGAGGAGGAGGAGGAGGAGGAGGAGGAGGAGGAGCAGGAGGAGGAGGAGGAGGAGGAGGAGGAGGAGGAGGAGGAGGAGGAGGAGGAGGAGGTGCGCCTCTCGCCCAGGCGATCCAGGCAGGGTCACATGCCTCTGGCCCGCGGCTTTGGGTGGTCCACGGGCTCTCTCGGCGGGGGGCGTCGCTGGCAGATACAGGCCACGGGGCCTCTCGGAGGCTCGGTTTGCTCGAGGCAGCTGCCTGTCCTCTTCCTCCTCCTCCTCCTCCGCCTCGGTGGCAGGGCCGCCATCGAGGTCGATGAGGAGGAAATCGTCCAGCCCTACTCGTGGCTTGGCTGCCCGGCTTTCCTCAAGGACCCGGTCAAGGAGCCGGTCGCGCCAGGCCAAGAAGGAGAAGAAGGATCGGAAGCACAAGAAGCACAAGAAGGACAAGAAGGACAGGGACCAGAGGCCGCCCCCCGACTGGCAAGGAGCTGGTCCTTGGGAGGTGAACTAGGCCCCAGCAAGTACTTGGGCTGCCAGGTCACGTCGTGGCACGACATTGGCGACGAGAGCGACGGCGACGTCCAGCCCAGCGACGGCATGAGCACGCTGGGGGTACCGAATGGGAGCTACTTCATCGGTGTGCGCAGGGGCAGGGAGGTGGTCAAGTTGTTCGACTTCATGGGTCACCAGCTGTCCCTGACGGATGGCATCGAGCTCAACCTCGGCATGGATCAGGCCGACGAGGATGAGGTGACGGCAGCAGGAGAGGCTCCGACGGCGGTGTCGGTCGCATCGGCGGCGGGGGCATCGGCGGTTGGGAGCCTGGGCGATGAAGGCATAGGCGAAGGAGGCATTGCCGGCGGCGGCATCGGCGGCTGTGAGCCGGAAGAGGAGAAGGCGGCAGCAGGAGAGGCCTTGTCGGCGGTACCGGTCGCATCGGCGACGGAGGCATCGGCGGCTGAGAGCCCAGGCGCTGGAGGCATCGGCGATGGATGCATCGGCGGCGGCGGCATCGGCGGCTGTTTGCAAGAGGTGGAGAAGGCTGCATCAGTAGAGGCTTCGGCGGCGGTGGCGGTTGCATCGGCGACGGAGGCATCGGCGGCTGTGAGCTCTGGAGGCGGAAGCATCACTGGCGGAGGCAGTGGCGGTGGAGGCATCGGCGGCTCGGAGCCTAGCGTGCACGAGGGCGGTAGCGTCGATGAGGATCTGAAGGTCACGTATGCGCTGAAGGTCAGCAATAGGTTTGAGGAGCTGAACCCCAGCAACGAGGACGTCGGCTATGGCGGGACGGAGTCCAGCGTGGTAGGCGACAGCATCGGCAACGGTATGTCTGAGCTATCGTCGGAGATGGATGCGATGCAGCATGAGGAGCTGGAGGCTGAGGAGACGGCGCTCAAGGAACCCGGCGTTGCGGCGACGGCGGGCTTTTTGCCTGACAGCCTCTCCAACCGCGAGCTGCGCCAGCTCGCCGTGAAGCGGTTCGGTCAGGCCTGGGTCGACGAGAACCTCTTTCCCGAGTGAGGCTGGCCTGCGATCGAGGCTGTGTGTTTTTCTTGGGGCGTTGTCCCGTGGGGGTGGTGGCGTTGGCCTCTCGTCGCCCTTGCTGGGTTCGCCTCGTTTTGGCCTCCGGGTCGGTTTTCCGCTCGTGGCGGGTCGCCGCCGCTGGGCGTTGCTCGAAAATCTTGGTCTCCCGCCGGGCCGCGGCTCGTGCGGTGGCGCGGGCTACCTGCCATGCTCCTGCCTGTCGGCAGGAGTCGTAGCGGGCAGCCTGCCAGTAACTTCTCGCTGGGCCATTGGGCTCGGCTAGTGCGTTTCGGCGTAGGCCCGAGTCGCGTGGCCTGCGTGCCAGCGCCTTTTGACAGGGCGGCGTCGTCAGTAAAGCCTAGTGTGTGTAGCCCTTCCTCCTCCTCCTCCCACCTCCTCCTTCCTTCCAACCCTCCTCCCCCAACCACCTCCTTCCTCCTCCCCCGCCTCCTCCTATCCTCCGTCCTCCTGTCCCGTCTTCCCGTCTCCGTCTCCTCTCCTCTCCTCTCTCCTCCTCCCCTCCACCTTCCTCCTTCTCTCCTCCTCCTATCCTGCTTCCCTCCTCCTCCTTGTGGCGTCGCAGTCCCATCGTACCAATCTCCAGTATCTCGTTGATGGCCTGCCGCCCTGGATGGCCTTTGTTGGCCCCGCCTCATCCTTAAAGATTGGTTTTATGTACCTCTAAGCCTACAAACAGCGCGCATACCAGCGCGCTTAGTAAATTAATATATCCCCCCTCCCCCCTCCTCCTCCATCCTTCCCCTCTTCCTCCCTTCCTGCCGTCCCTTCCCTCCTTCCTTTTCCTTCCCTCCTCCTTCCTCCTCCCCTTCCCTTCTCCTCCCTCCTCCTCTCCCTCCTCCCCTCCTCCTTCCTTCCTCTCCTTCCTCCTCCTCCTCCTCCTCTTTCCTCCTCCTCCTCCTCCTCTCTCACCTCCTCCTCCTCCTCCCTCCTCCACCTCCTCCTCCACCTCCTCCCCCCCCCTTTTCCGAGAGGTCCAGCAGCTCGCTCGAGAGGCAAGGCTAGCTTCCTGTCCTCGAAAATAAGACACAAAGTGGCATAAAACATAAATAAGAAGCATAGAAAAAAGGTGCCAAGTGGCCCCCCTGTGCGGTCACCTCCTTGGCGCCAGTTTGCATTGCGAGCGCCTCCACGCGCCAAAGGAGGGGGGTCTTCCAACCGGAGCGCCAGTCAACGAAGTCCGCGCGGACACCCAATATGTGGTTCCCCTAAGTCCTCCTCCACCTCCTCCTCCTCGCCCATCCTCCCCCCCAGAGGTGTGAGAGGCCCGAGAATATCCTTTTCCTTTCCTTTCCTTTCCTTTCCTTTCCTTTCCTTTCCTCCTCCTCCTCCTCCTCCTCCTCCTCCTCGTTCTCCTCCTTCCTTTTCCCACTCTGAAATCCCGCCCCCCGTCCGTTTTGACACCCTCCCTGGGGTCCCAGGCCTTTCAAGTAATCGTGCTGCACGATCTGCACCGGGCGGCTGCAAACCCCGCGGCCCTTGCAGGCGACGCTGGCGCGTGCGCGATCGCGGAGGTGCTGGAAGCGGGCGTGACCATCAGGTGGTGACCATCCCGCCTGCTGCTCATCTGAAGGGGGACGAGGAAGGAATGATGAATCTGATGATAGAAAGATGGGCGCCGGTTCTGCCTCTTGCAGTCGATGATTGCCCGCGCTTTCCCGTTGCCGAGTCTTCTGGTTATCGTGGACCTCGGTTGCCGAATGATGATAGCAGGGGCTCCCCGGTCCCAAGGCACGCCCCAGCCAGCGGCGCGCCTATAGGCAGAGGAGGATCATGATCTTGAGCGTGACCATGAGTAGGGCAATGAGGAGGAGGAGGATGATGAAAAGGAGGAGGAGGTTGAGGAAGAAGAAGAAGAGGACCACAGCAGATTCTGCACGAGTCGTCAATGCTACAGCACACCCTGCAGTCTCACGTTCTCTCATCACGCGTACTTCTGTGCTTCTACTTATATATATATGTATATATATATGCATAGGTTGAAGTTGCAGGTGCCATGTTTGTGATATGTAGGGCTGCGATGTCTACGAATCGTGCTGTTGCTACGACGC